GACAATTACAGTAGACTTGAATGCAGTTATGGCTAGGATTGGTGGGTGTCAACATTTTCTAAGCCCAGACTTGTTTCGAAATTCTGATCTTTCAAAACTCTACTGTTGTACAGGAAATTTTTGCAATCCAGACATTTGATATAAAAGATATCTATATAGATAAATACAATTCATCGGAAACTGTAAAGTGTCTGAGTTCAAATGTACTATATCAATGTCAGCTGATGGGAATACTGTACTCAAAGGAGTGTAGGTCGTTGCACTGCGCATGATTGATTTTGCCTGTAGTGCTGTGTAAATAGCCATAAACTAATTGGAACTTGTTGTAATCATATGTAAAGTGTAATATGATAATTGTAAATTATATTATTAGTTGAAATAATTGATTTATAATCTAATAATAAAACACAGAGGGTTTTAATTTGTCAACTAATTTAATTGAATTTAATTTGGTAACATCTTGCCTTACCCGGAAGTTTATTAAACATAATAAAACTATTTAATATTTAATATTAATAATCTTAATATTTAATTTAATATTTAATATTTAGCAGTAGGCATATACTGATAACTTAAATCCGGGTACTCATTGCGTTTGACGGTCGTCGGCCAACGCCATTCCATAAAGAAAGCATCGCAACGATGCACGTTCAGACTTCCACCGGCAATCAGCAGACAGCGGTGCGGCATCTAGCGCTCTCGTGGAGTGGAGTTAGGTTTGTCATGCGACGCAGTAAGTGCTCAGCGTAACAAACACTATTTAATGTTATCAACTGCATAAGGCCAGTAAAAATAAACAAATTTAAAAAAAGATAGAATGCAAGGACACTTTTTTTTTTTTACGTTTTTTTTTTATACTCTGAGATGACAAATCCAAGATGGCCCATGGGATACAGCTACTACTTTCTCACTTTATACCAAGTAGACACATTGAAAGCAAATAAAAGAAGCACTAGACATGCCACGAACAATTGAGAGAGGAATTTTACTGATGCGAGTTAGCCATTTCATAAAATAAAGAAAATTAAAAAAATTAAAAATTTGGTGAGGCAGAGAAAATGGATGCATGAGGGGACGAGAACACTAGTAAAATTTTTTATTTGGCCTAACATTTGGAAAGGTTGTGGTTTGGTTATATCAGGAAATATGTTATTTAATTGTAATTTATGAATATAATACAGGTCATTTATGATTCTAAAAAATTATTTTGAAAACCAAGCTGTAATATGTTATTATAACATAAAATTAAAAAAAAACATTTTTTTTTATTAGTTTATATACTGTATACTTTTCCTCTCTATTTAGAGTAAGCACCTATGCTTTATCATAATCTGTAAGTCCGGACAGACGGATACCACAAATTATACTCTACAATTATTTGTAAACATTAAGTTCCAGTTGAGTATTCAGGGGCGGATCCAGGATTTGAAAGAGGGGAGTTCAAAATGTTCCAAAAAACCGAAAGTAAAAGGGGGTCCGGGGAAAATTTTGATTTCTAGATGGCCGGTAATAAGCATTCTGGACTTATTAGGTGTCTTTTAATGACCTTTTATTTCTTCAAAATTCGAGGTTTTCCCCTCTTAAAAACAGGTCAGGTGATTTTTATCTCATTCTTAGGCCTATACATAGAGAGAGAGAGAGAGAGAGAGAGAAAAAAAACAAAGGCATAGGCAATATATAATTATATTATAACAATATTGAGTAGGCCTGGTTGGATACGTAGTCTTTCTTCCATGAATTAATGAACTGATAGTCCTGAAGAAAGCACTTCGTATATAAATTAGTACGACGTCGAACCATAAACAGTGTTTTTAATATTATCTAATTGAAAGCTATTTGGGCTAAGCCTATTTGTCCGATCTGCTACATGACTATGCCTAATTGGTAGATAGCATGCCTTTTGTAGTAAGCCAGGACCAGTACCAGTAGTATTTAGTTGTTTCTTCACATAGTGGAGGGTGGGGGGATTCGTCCGAACCCCTTGAACCTCCCCTAGATCCGCCACTGGTATTTCTATTTACACAATAATATAAAAAAAAAAATTGAGAAAAAACGTATCTCCATCAGAATTCGAACCAAAGACCTTCCAGTTCCTGTTCGGATACTCTACCAACTGAGCTATAAGACCAAATGGTATACTACACCCTTGGATTTTCCCATTAGGACACATTTTTTTCTTAGGGTATTGCATAATACACAATTGATAATAGTAAATCACATGAAGTTATATATTGTACAGTATACACAATGTATTATTTATCTGTTCATCTATGCATGTTGTAAGTGTTTTGTTGTAGTTCAATAAGTGGAACTTACTATAGATTAATTATTTTTTTCTCAAATTAATCTGCAATCACCCAGATTTAGCACCAGGGTGTATGCAGACCCAGGTTCCTCAGACCAAGTGAGTCAATATTCTGAGTGAAAAGCCGCAACCCTATGTCATTCTTTTTTCCTTTGTCAGATTTAGTTATTTTCACTGTTTGTTACCTTGTTTTTGTTATACAGTACAGTATGTATGAACTGTTCGGGGTTGTTTACTGCATTTTAAATTAAGGTTTTGTTTGTAACCATGGTTCCATTAATTCTCTAAGGTTTTATCGACACATGTTAGCCATAAGCAATCAGCATCAACCAGTGTAAAGGCCAAAGGTTTATTGAAATCAATTTCGGAATAAAAATTTTAAAATGATGATGATAAATTGAAAATGCAGTTCACTTCATGCTCTTTAGCACCATAATTTATGGTACTAAGAAATAAAAAAAAAACAAAACATGAATATTTAATCCTCTTTGGGATTTGAACACAATACAATATACTTGTGTACCGTCTACATAGCCCAGTCAATGTGCCACATCTAAGTTTCCCTATTGGACCAAATATTGCCAAGTCTACCAACAAAAGTACTTTTTTAAAATAGTTATAGCTTAGTGACTCAAATGGCTGAGCGGTTAAGGAAGGGGCACTGCAAACTACAGCCATAATATCGGCGCTGATTCGCACAGAACGCTGGCCTGTGGTTCTAGTGGTGGTGGTGGTGGTGGTGGTATAAACCCAGTGTACACAATTGGCTCATGTGCATTTTAAAGAACTCAGTACTTTCGAGACGAGTAGGGGGGAGGGGAGGGCTACCCTGGTGGACTGGTCCATACAGCCCCTGTTACCCTGTGCTTATAGACCATTAAGTCTTTTGCGGGATGTACCTACTATACGTAAACGTAAGCTGATTGCTTAGGTTATTTGCATGAATCTTATCATCATAATTTTATTATTTTGCTATAAAAAATTTTTAATTTAACTTTCTTATGAAATGTTTTCTCCATGCAGGCTGAGAATAATCTTGAGTTTGTTATGGAAGCACAGAGTATACAGGACATGCAGTCCTGGCTCACCAGTATCCAAGAGTCAATGAAGGCGGCACGGAGGAGTAGTAGCCTAGATCGAAGGTAATCCACTTGCAATGACATGAAAACATAGATTTTATTTTTCAATAGCATTTGTACCAAATGAATTACTTTTATGAAATAATAGTTATTTGTCTGCTATTACAAAATATATGATATTATAAGTCAATGTGGAGCTCTACTAATTGCTTAATAAGTGCTTAATTTTTAAATTTCAACTTCAGTTTGAAAAATCATAATAGATATTATCTCATAGTAGCATACAGGGTTTATAAAGAGAAAAAAAAAGTTTATACAGTCAGCAATCTCATCTACATTAAGTAACATTGAAGGCAAAACTCCTAACTATCTATAGAGTACATTTGCCTCCATAATATTTAAAAAGTATGTGTTATTTATTAGGCCAAAAACAAATTGTTTGTTTGCCCTCCTCCATCCGCACCTAACACACTGAAAAAAAAAAATAGGGGGAGAAAAACAAAAAAACTAAAAAAAAAGGAGGTTTTTTTAGCTTTTTTCTTTACAAATAAAAAAAAATGTAAGTGAATTTATCTTTATTTTTTTCCAGATGCCCTACAAATTAGTTTAAAGTTGTTTTCTGATGAAGATATTGCCATTCTAGGCCTCTGTGGGTTATTTTTATTCCATCGGATGAGTATTTAAAAAAAAAAAAAGAAAAAAAAAACTTTTTCCACCTAACCCTTTTTATCATTTTAAGAAAAGAGGTGCAAACAAACAATTCATTTTTTTTAGGTCTTATATGTAAAATTACTATGGAAACAATTGAGATGAGAAATAAATTATGATCAATGGTTTATAATAATAACGATAAAGATTTAGTTAAATGATACTTAAGGGTGATAGTATTACTAATGGATTGTTTTTATTAGGCGTCCGCTACCATCTGTTCCCTTTGATGACAATCACATGGATTCCCAACCAAATAGAAACAGCTTAGCTGTAGAATTACCCAACGATGGTGAGTATTAATTCTCAACAGGGTCACATTCATAGTGAGGGTGGTGGTGGTTGAACCCAGGAGGGATTCCGTCAGAATTGTCTTTACATGAAAGTATAGTAATGGTAATGTCTGTGTACTAGCATTTTATTTGTATAATTTCATGTTTTCAATATGTAAAAAACAACAAAATAAGGAAGTTTTATCTAATGTTGAAGTTCTATATGTTGTTGGTTCTCTTACTCAGCAATTTGATATTGACTTATCAAGTGAAAAAAAAAATGTTGATTTTTTTTTATGTGGTTGAAAATTTCATATCCTGATTGCAAAAAGGTATTCACAATATGTTATGATTAAAATAAGTGTTTATCTTGTCAACAACCTGCTATTACAGGTCTCCCTCCAATTAAAGACCACTTTTGGGACCGGTGTTTCTATGATCTTTAGCAGCTTTGGTCTTTAATTAGAATAACAAAAATAAAAGGCATTTGGTAATTTGGGACCACAAAAAAGTGGTCTTTAATTAGAGGTGATCTTTAATTGGAGGGGTTTTTAATAGAGGGAGACCTGTATATGATTAATTTACATTTAATCGTAGGTTCTAGTCCGGACCGAACCCCGAACATATCGCCGCCACCAGATATTCCTCCGAGAGATCCTTGTCAGCAAAGAGCATCGAGCAGCGCCAGCTCAGACCAGGCCATTACGCCTGTCACAGCTCCAGGTAAGAAAATGCGATCACTTCCTGCACAAAGCCTGGCAATTCGTTGCAGGAAGCTTTGAGATCATGATACAACACCCTCACTTCCACCGGAATATACTTTCATATCTCATACATGTCAAATTATTGTTCTGGGTGTTAGTACCACATGGCCTTCGAGTTTGAATTCACTGACTTTAAAAGGCACTCCGAAGGCGGGTTTATTTCCTGTTCTTATTGAATTGTTCCTTTCGTTGTTATGTTTAACATAATATTTGAGGCATGTTAAAATATAATGTTAAAACCAATTGTAAATTTCGTTTTGCTAGAAGTTTATATACTGTGATAATGAATTACTGTTATTAAAACTGTTATTACTCAATATTTCAGTTTAATAATATTATTTAAAATGAACTTAAAAGCGATTGTACAGTACTGTAGTTTATAAACCAGACCAGTGATACATAGTACAGTTTATGTTTAACTTGGCAATAGAGGGCTCACTATAAAATGAATGCTATGTCTGTTTAAGTTATGTGCAATTATGCATCATGCTTGTTGTAATTGTATTATCTATAATGAACTTTAATGTGATTGTTTATAAAAAACTCTGATATAAAATACATGTACAATTGTTTACATTTACATTACATTTATGCTTGGCAATAGAAGGTGCATTATAAAATTGACACTAAAAAGTTTTATGTTTTTTATAATAATTAATAATAATGATAATAATAATAATAATAATAATAATAATATTTAATAATAATTAAATAATTTATAATGCGCCAATTCAAAGATTTATCAAAGGCGCAGCGGACTAGATGTTGCACTTTTTCAATAAATTTCTACTCCCCTGAGGGTCACTTCATGTCCTCTGCAGCCAGTAAACCGGCGGACTTTCATCTGTCCACGACAGGGGCCGAGTGAACCAGTACACCGGGGTAACCCCTACTCATCTCGAAAGATTTACTGGGTTCTTTAAAGTACACATGAGCATTTGTGTACACTGGGCCTATGGTTTATAGTCCTTATCCGAGAAGACTTGTTTCACCACCAGAACTATAGGAGCGAGCCGGTCGCGAACCTGTTACAATGTTGTTGGCTGTGGTCACGGTTCCCCTGCCTTAACCGCTCGGCCATTTGGCTCGCTCAAGCTTATAAATCATGTTCACATAGGTTTATGTTTAATGCAAGATTTTCAGAATGTTTTTTGTCAATCCTTATTTATTTTTTTATTTTATGCAAATTTGCATATGTTTATTGCATTATTTTGATAATTGTGTACTACACTAAATGAAAGCAACAACTGAATGCATTGTGATGTAGATATCAATTAAAACATTATTTATTAATGTGAATATTTTACCATATTTTAGTAGAAGGAAGAGTCATCAGCCCCCAGTGGGCTGAACTATAAGCCTCTACTGGCCAAACCACAGGCCTTCAGTAGCATGGGTTTCTAGCCTATAATTATTAAATTATTGACTTGGACAGCTGGCCTCCAGTAGCCTAACCGGCCTGTGGTTTGGATGGCTGATGATATGATAATGCTAAAGTAACATATATTTGAACTTTGTACTTTATAGAAGGTATGGTCTTAGTAAGTCCAGAAAATGACCATGCACTGGCCAGCTATCCCTGGTTCCATGGTACTCTGTCTCGGATCGATGCGGCGATGCTAGTACTGCAAGGTGGCCACACAAGTCATGGCGTGTTTCTGGTACGGCAGAGTGAGACAAGGCGCGGAGAATGTGTCCTAACTTTTAATTTTCATGGCAGGCCAAAGGTGGGATATTATTTGAAAATTAGCTTCTTGCCTATTTAGGACAAAAATACATTTTATAGGTTATATGATAATCAATTGTCATTTTAAACTCGCTCTTTTTTTAATTATATTTTTTTAAATAGAAATTTTATAAATCAGACTATTTCTTTCAAATTTTATATCATTGTCATCTTTATGTATTTTGTCATTCTAATAATAATCTGTCCCTTGTTTTCATTCTGTTATGTTACACACAGTTTTATACTCTTTAAAAGTATGTAAATTTTACCAAATGCCGTTGTTTTGTTTATTTCGTTTTAATTACTCAAGAAAATATGAGTACTGTATAATGTCCCCCTAACGAAAACAAAACTATCCAAATCTGGCTTTTAATTTTAAATTGTAAGAAATAATGGATATGTGTTTCTTTTGTTCTTCTTTTAATTTATAGCATTTAAGGTTACAGCTGGATCAAGATGGAAAATGTAAAGTGACGCACATCTGGTTTGATAGCATATTTGATATGCTTGACCACTTCCGGACACATCCCATTCCACTGGACAGCCGTGACGGATCCAGCCAACCAGATGTTTCCCTCACCGTGTACGTCCCAAACACAATAAGACCCAGAACGCCGAGCTCTGCTGGCAGCTCGGATGGCAACGTACCTTTCAATCTTAATGGCATGCCGCGTTCCGAATTCACGTCACCCAGCGATAGTTTCTTCCTGCCGATCAACGACCCATTGGCTATGGCGACAAATGGCATTGCTGCTGAACCGTCGGAAGAGAACCATAGAGGAGGGCGTGCTGTGCGTAACCAGTACGCATTCGTATGATAGACTTTTTATGTAAATTGGTTAAATGAAAATGAATTGTTAGGGATGCAGGAAGGGTATTAAAAATGTTGTGGGGTGTTGACACTTCATCTCTAATTTTCCAACCTTTCTACCAGTTTTCTGTAACTGTGGAAGTATATGATTCTATGCATTGATGGCATGGTTAAGGTTGTCATCTTTGTTCCAGATTTGATCTGCAAAGTATGGAGTATTGGGTTTAAACTGGCAAAGAATCCTTGTTAATAGGAATTCGAAAGCAAGTTTGTATGTACATATGATATAATAAGAAACTAATACTGTACATCCATTGGTTATACCCAGGTTTGAAATAATTAAATGTTAAATACAGTCGCAGACTCTCAAGTATTGATATGATATTTTCTTTTTATTTTTTTACTTTATTTATTATGTTAATAAAACATATGCAAATTGATGGATTTAAAAAATTTGATCAGATTTTTAGCATTTGGCATTTACAACTCAAAAACAATCCCACTCAAATTATCTTAAATGAAATATACAAATATTAATTTTTATTAGGATTATGCCTGAAAACTTGAATTTTATGCTATTTTAAAATAAAATAGGTCAACATACAAAGAAATAGCATCTATGTGTTTCACACACATCTTCTATGTTTATATTATGATTGTATAGGAGATTTATGTTTTAGCTGCTACAGCCAGGGTAAGACATTCCTATGCAAAAAAGATCATATTTTTTCATATAGGAGTGTGCACCCGGCTTAAAATCTGAAACACTAGTTGTTTAATCTGAAATTATTCCTTGTTGAAATATAACACATTCATAACAAATTTAATTATATGTATAGTATGTACTATTTTGTAGAGTATTTGAATTGATATGTGTATTAGCATCATTGGCGCCAGTACTCTTGTGACTTTATTATGTAGGAATTTAATTACAAAGTTTATAAAAAACAATTTATATTAGGATGAGGAGTTTAGTTTTTATAGGGCTACATTAACTTATATATTCACACTATCACAATATCAAAGGGCTCAATTACCAAGCGCATAGAGACTTTCTTGCATGACGTATTATACAAGTCCAACTATTGTTAATAAATTAAAAGTATATTAGTTATTGTGTGGATTATTCGAGTTATTAGAATCATAAATTTACATACAATGTATCATAATTTTATTTTTTTATTAACATATTCATTTTACAGGTGTCCCGCCTTGTAAACATCACTTCTGGGTTTGCATGGTCTTTAACAGCTTTGGTGTCTAATTAGAATAATAAAGATGATACATTTTTAAATTTTGCAACCAAAAAAGTGGCCTTTAATTGGAGGTGGTCTTCAATTGGAGGGTCTTTAATTGGAGGGAAACCTGTACATTAGAGTGTAATTTATTCCTTATTTGAAGTTGAATAATGATTATTATTTTGTTTCTGTATTTAATTTTTTAAATATTAATAATTCAACCCATAGGAGGACCAGCCCATTAAAAAATTCTTTCCCATTTTGCAAATGCACTCATCCCTATGATGAAACTATAGAATACATTATAAGCTTATACCTGATTCATTAGAGATAAATACTACACGGGATGCATGCTAAATGTCAGAGACTTCTAAAGATATTCCTACTGATATATATAATCGTTTTTACACGAACAATAGTTTACAAACACGCCGAAAGTCCGTACGATGGACCTTCCCACCAAGCCCTGCATCTTAGATATTGTTGCCAAGATCCCACAAAACGACAGTGTAAAAAAAAAATATGCAAGCATGTGTGTTTGCGTGGGACAACACATGTTTGTGAGATACGCGCGTATTCCTATCCTTGTTCTGCTTGGTCAAGTTTGTCAAGTTTGATTGCCACTCCGGAAAGGTCTATTTGTGTGCGGCCAGTAAAGATGCATGCGACGCTGCATTCAGAGGTGTTACCAACACCCAACCTAATGATGTACATGCTTTTGAAATAATAGAACTTGTTTTTTAATGAATTCAATTTTACTGTCTTTACTATTATTATAATTATCATTATTGTTAATATTATCAAGGCAATTAAACAGAAGGACGCACATCTCGGGACATCAAAGGCAACTCTGGCATCGACATTCTAGGCGCACGTAGGTCCCTACACGCTGAATGTCACAAAAGCCATAGCAACCAGACCGTAAACCGTCAGCTTATATGACGATTTACCCACGCGCGTGTTAGTTGCCATGATAATTGCGCGTCGTGCGGTGATTACAAAGGACTAATTATATTTTGCACTAACATTAGACTGAAATTATATTCTTCATTTCAACATTAATTTTACCAAAATTGTGGTGAATTGTCGTTCATGAGACTCACTTCGCAGAAAAAATTAATAAATGTTCTGTATATACTCAAATGTTATGTAAACATTGTATTTTTAACCACAAACAGGTCAAGATATGCAATTGAAGAAAATGAATAGAAATTAAACTAAATTATATTTGAATGATGGACATAAAAATATGGATTATTTTGCCATACTTGGCGTAAATAATCAGTGGCGTGTGGTAATCACAAATCAAATGATAAAGATCTTTTTAAGTGGGTTGTTTTTTAACCAACAAATGATATGGCAAAATTTATTTTCTGCATTTCAGAGTTCTGTCAGCAGTTTAACATAGGTCAGATTTATTGTTTTTATATACTTGAAACTAAGCCGTGACTCAAAGGTTATTGTAAAAATATGTAGCATGTGTTTACGCTGAACAGCATAACATAGAATATTTTGTAGTTGTTTTTATTATGTATTATATATTATCTATTTTTAATTTTCATTTTACTGAAATAGTTTCATTGAGTTATGTCATCTTTATTTTGTTACAGATTAAGGGGCACAGGTTGGGTGGGGTCACGCTTAAAGATATTCTGTTTATTCGAATAAATACGGTATTTCAAATTATTAATTGAAATTTAATAACTAATACTTAAATATACAATGTACAAAATTTCATATACTGAATTACATTTTTTATAAGTTTTGTTTTTAGCTTAAAATTGACAGTGTATTTTTAATATATTTACCTTTGGTATAACCTCACCCTTCTTGAGCAAAAATTGGGACAATTTTTAGGGTGGTTAAGACTGCTTTGGCTTTTGCCAGTGTGTGGGTTTGTACTTGTACGTGGGCTTACCAGCAGTGGCGCCAGAAATTCTCTGATCAGGACTCCATGTATTCCCCGTCAGGGGGTCAAAGGTCCCCAAGAAGAGCTCCAATTACCTCAACTGGGGTGCAAATTGAACTCTAAATTCAAGGAAAATAATGGCAGTCTATTCTTTTCCCACAGGGTTCTCAGACAGGTAGGGGGGGTTGTCCTTTGCACCTGCCACTCGGGCTTATGTACTGTACGTAGGCTTACCAGCAGTGGCGCCATGTATTCCCCGTCCGGGGGTCAAAGGTCCCCAAGGAGAGGTCCAATTACCTCAACTGGGGTGCAAATTCAACTCTAAATGCCCGGAAAATAATGGCAGTCTCTTCTTTTCCCACAGGGATCTCAGACGGGAGGGGGGTTGTCCTTTGCACCTGCCACTGGTGCAAAGGAGTAAGGCTTATATAACTAAGCAGAATATTACATGCCCATCAAAATGAAAATAAATTTCAAAATGAATATTAAGTTAGAAAGTGCTGCATCCGCCAAGCAACATATATTTATTTTAAGTGAGTACTGTACTAATAAGCTGCTTTAACTTAATTCATGTGTTATTTTTTAACATGTACCATATGATGTACCCTGTAATTTGGTTTTCTTTTCTGCAAGAAGAAGGTAATTGCAATGATATTTTTATGTACACAATTTGGAAATAAATGTGTTTAAAAAAAGCTATACGGACAAAAAGTATTTATAATGGAGATATCCGGAAAAATGTGATGAACCAATAGGACAGCTGGATTTTGTCTTGTGATAGTGTGTGTTAATCAGTCGGAGAAAATGTTTGTATAGTTGAAGGCAGCTGAAATGTGTGTTGTTGCCAATCAGAGAATAGAGTTTAAAAAGTGAAGAGTGCTGAACATATTTAGCCAATGAGAGAAGAGAATTTTGTAGGCATTTTGTTTAAAAAAAATAGATACAGTTTCTGATCTTGTATCATGTGTTTAGAATGTTGTTTGGTTTTACACAATCTTATTATTTTATGACATATATTTTGAATCTATAAAATCCTGCTAGATTTTGTATATGATGTGAACACATTATGATTTTTTTTCTCTCTGACCAAATATACTGTTGAAAAATCTCTCCACAAATTATTATTATTATGTATTATTCCAAGCAATTTTTTTATGTAAACAGAATTACTAAATGATTTATTCCAGGATTAATATCTTAAAAATTGTTTTGTGTATTTGAATTTAGGATATTCAAGTACTGTAATATTATTTCTCATTATCAGCACACTTTGTTTGAGTATTTAAGAAGTTGTTGAAAACTTGTTATTGGAATATCATTGCGAAGGAGATAAGAAACAAAAGGAAGCTTTTAAAATAGCATATTAGCAATACATATACAAATATCTCATATTCTATATAAACAAAGAGTAGTAACAATTTAACTGCCGACTTTCAGATTTTTATCTCTTTAGATGGAAAAACCCCCAAAATGTTTAACAATTTTGCATAACAAGTTGAGGTAATACAGTATACGGTATGAAGTCAGTGAAAGTTTTAACCAATCAGGTTAGAGTATTCAGGGTGTTCTCCTCGTGTATAGGGGTTCTTGGTTTTTATGCAGATTTGGGGTGTATTTTTAAGTCTTCATCATCTGTTCATATATTTTTGGCCATTATTTTCCCCAGTAATTGAAATAGTAATTGAATTGTTTAATAAAATTAAATGATATAATCCTAAGTAGCATTACAGGTGATTACTATTTATATAATCACGTCACTAATTTCTGGTTTTTTTTTGTTTTTTTTTTTGCAATTCAAAATATGCTAATTAAATTACTTGATTGTCGGAATACTGTGCCAGAAGAGGAGTGTAATTAAATTTATACTAAGGTGATGACATCATTATTGTTGATGAAGTCAAAAGGGTATATAGTATCATTGCCCATGTTGATGTTCATATTTTTGTTGAAATTAAAATGAAATTGAATACAGTACAGTATGTTTCTTTCACAAAAGTTTTTTTTTTCTTGTGTTTGAGTTATATTGCAGGAGAAAACAAGTCAGAAAAACGTAGTTTTTAAATTGTAGTAAAAATCAACATTTATTTAAAAATAACAAATATACTTTACAGCTATACATTTCTTCACCTTAAGAAAGCACAGATTGGGACTAAACTTTATATTTGTGTCTTTGGTATAATGACCCACAAAATCAATCGATTACTATACTAGTATAAACATCTGTTTGTAATTTGATTTTTCGTAATAGCATTATTTACAAAAGTAGGAACGTCGGACGCATCTATAAAACGTTGGTACATCTCTAAAATATTTTGAGATGCTAACCAACCTACAATAAGATTAGGATTACTGTAATAGGTTTCTATTGTTTACTATGGTGATAATAGATGCTTAGTGTTTAATATCCGGCAGGTTTCCCGCCTTTCCTGTCGTCACAATAGGCAGTGAGATAGTCGTTTGATTTTCTCTTGATACCTTGTACTACACTTTTACTTGATGTTTGTTTAGTTTCGTGTTTTCTTTTCTCCAAACCATCTAAAATTTCCTGTGGATGATTTATAAAAGCGTCATTGCAAAAATTAATTTACTAAGTGTTACATTTTGAGCGGAGGGTCTCCTAACGGTAAACTTAATTCCACTAAGTCCCGCTATTATATTGTTGCTATGCTATGGTCCCATAAAACGAAAGCGAAACGTATGGAAACTATGTTTGTGATATGTGCGCACTGTATTCCTGGCCATGTTCTTGTCAGTTAATATTAAACTTGGTTGAAGCTTCAGGAAGGTCCATTGTTAATTTTGTATACTGAATAGCGGCTATAGTTTCGAATTCTTGGCTTAAATGATTCCGCCAACGTACTTTCTCATATAAATAACTAGGCCTACACTGTACAGTATCTCATTTCGGCAGGCCACTTAAAATGAAGTTTGTTAAATGGCGCCCTCTTACCTTGCTAAAATCTTTTTCATACGTTATGTAAGTCGGAACCAGTTGGTGGTGAATTCTTAGTTTTTTGATTGCATGCTCTATGTTTAAACCAAACCACAGCGTATTCATGCTAGCCTATATATACGGGGAAAAAATGCATTGTAAATTAGTAGTAGTAGTAGTAGTTAGTACCAGCAATAGTTTAATAGTAGTAGACCTACCACTACACACCAGCCACCGCACAGCCTCTCAACCCCAAAATGTACCATCATCCCATCTCGGGTACTATCCCAACGTACCATATAAGCCCTATACGACCAATCATCTTCTAGCCAAACTCTTGACTTCCAAAAATGATGACAATCATAGGCTTACAGTAGACTTGTACTTTTTATAAATTAAGCATACCATTTTACCTACAGTAATTATATCAGATTCAGATTCAGGTTCAGATATTTATTACGTCAAAATGTCAATGCATCATGATAATTGGTTTCCACGGTTCAAAAATACAAATAAGACTTATTATACTTATATAATTATTCATTTAAAAGAGGAAGCATAACATAGGCCTACCAGAGCGGTCCCGGTTGTTATCCTGGTGCCGCCCGATGCCCCCACTACCAAATACGCTTTGTTTGATGATTTGTCCAGAAATATAGAAGGACACATAGAGGACATGGGTCGTTTTCCAGGCTTAATGAAGTTAGAGGGTGACGCGGGAACTCCAAAGGAGTTGACCGTACCAGGTGTGGAAAAATCATCCATCTCATTATTGAATATGATTCCTGTCCGCGTCCCTCGAACTTTAGACCCAAAACTGGAATGAAAATAACATTTAAATATGCGTTTATTTAGTCAAAATGTAGATAAACAAGCGTACATGTGCAATTCAGCTGTAATTAATTACATTTTTTAATTGTAAACATCGTGCAATTCAGCCGTAAGGCTACGATTTTGATATTTTTTTTAAATAAAAGAAAAATATATTTCTTTTTTAAAATCAACAAGAAAATAATTCGGATTAAGCCCCTGCCGGGTACCAGAGGCAATCGCATTGCAGCGCCTACCATGGTAATACACAGTAGACAGTCCTCTACTCCATTTGAATAATATACCGAGTTCTTTTTTGTGTGTATGTGCTAATATTTACGGTATATTCGGGACAAATGGCTTCGGCTCCATCCGAAGGACAAGGTAATTGGAACAGTGTCTTACTGAATGGCATAGGTCCTTTCCGCACCCTCAGACGTAACATTTTATAATTAAACTCTGACAATGTATTCTTTTCTGTTCTCAAGATTTTCTAATTATCAATAAAGGAAATAATATATTTTCTCCATGGCCATAGAGTACTACAGTGTTATGTCACGATACCACATGATATCACATGGTGAGTCGAATGGCCGAGCGGCTAGCAGGGGCGCCGCAAGCTATAGCCATAATATCGGCGCTGGTTCGAACGGCACGCTCGCCTATGGTTCTGGTGGTAGAACAAGTCTTCTCGGATAAGGACTATAAACCGTAGGCCCAGTG